TCAGAGCTCGTCGTCTCAAGGTTGGAAGCAGTTCCTGTCCATCCCAGCTCCTCAGCACGTTGGTTCTTCGGGGTGGTCTTTCTTGGGGAAGGAAGTTCTCCACCACTGTGCCTTCAGCATCCGGCCTGCCCCTGCTCCTTAACTCGTGACAGACGTTTTTCCTATGAAAAAGGCAGATTTTTTTCAAGCCGGCATCTGTGTATTGTTGGATGCTCATTGCTATCTTTAAAACAGGTTATTTAGGAGAAAAGTGGGGTAGACCGCAAATGCCCTCATGTGAAGACACGCCCATCTCAGCCCCCACGTCACACAGTCCCCGTCCAGTTGGACCACAGCAGAAGCTGCCTTCCGCACTGAGCCCTGTGCCCTAAAGGCCGAGCCCGGAGGTGCCCACGCTCAGAGCCGCGGAGGTCGTGGCAGATGGTACAGGAAGGTCAGAGCAGCCTGCTGGACCGTGGCAGGTGCCCCACCGCGAGCCCGGGTCGGCCTTAGCGGGTGGCCGCCCCCTGGTTGCAGCTGTATTTCCATGCTGGCCTTCCCCGTGTGCCATGCTCACCGCTGCGACTAAATCCAACCTCGCATGCCTCGTGTTTACCACGGCCGTCCCACAGGTGCTGAGGCCACGATTCTGTGTGTGTACCTTTGTGAAAGACTACTACCTAGAAGGTCAAGGGTTCTCCCTGAAAATGGAACAGCAGAGTGCTCAGTCTTGAAATTTCAAAGCGAATAACAGAAAAAAGAAACGAGAACTAAATTCTAAACTGAAGCCAGCAGTTACGTGCTTTTTGCAAGACTTCCTGATGCTAAATCCACGAGAGGCCCTGGGTGGCCTCGGGTGGGTCTTGGCCTCAGTTAAGCCGCAGGCCCCGTCCCTGCCGCGGTGGCCTGGGCGTCAGAAGGGCAGCGGTGACCCCAGGCTGCCCAAGGGCTGCTTCAAATACCCTTGCTGGGAATTTGCATTTTCAGAGGAAACCTTAAATAATCAAAACCAAAATGTTACAATTATTTTTCTAACAGAGAAGAGAAAGTCATGTTACTGAGAAGCCTCTGATGATTGGTGACAGTTGGGGATATTGAGTATTGAACACAGACTCCAGGAAAGCCTGCCGGAACTGTGGAGAGACAGCGGTGAAGTCAACGGGGAGCCTGGAGCAGGGCCAGGCAGGGGAGCCCTCGGCGGTGGCGGACCCCAGGGGCCAAGCGGCCGGGTCCTCCAGGTTCTGCCCGCAAGCCGGCTGACTCGGTGATGCCAGCCACGTGCTCCGTTCTGGTCGGCAGACTGCGGGGAAAACAGAAGCCAGCGAGCCAAGTACGGCCACCGGTGAGCAACCAGGCACACCGGGCTTCTGCTCCCGGGACCCTCAGACACCAGCACAGAAGCGCGAGGGGATTTTGACTCCTTCCTGAGCTGAAACCAAGACGTTTCCCCAGAGCTCTGCCTGTGAAACAAAACAGACAGTTGGCGTTTCCAGATGCCTTGTGAATGGTCTTTGTTCAGGAAGATTTCTTCGTGACGTGCAGCCAGGAGAAGGGCAGAGAATGGATCAACCCAGTTGGAACAGCTTAAGATGGTGGAGACAGAAGACTTAACGAGGTGGCGTGAAAAGCCTGAGAGCAGCCAAGACGTCTTTGCAACCCCAGTGTGGACACACCAATTAGAATTTATAAGGCAGCGGGGTTGGGAGAGCAGATGTAGGAAATGGGGGGGAACAACGGAAGAGCATCCCAGAGGATCCCGAGGCAGAGCCATGACAGCCAGCCTCGAGGCTGGAAACGGACCGTGCATACCGAGGATGCGTCACGTCCGTGGCTTCCCATGAAAGAGAAATCCCTGATCCCGTCGACACTGAAGAAGGAAAGCATTTCCACAGTGGATCTAGAACAATTCCTCCAAAGCCAGCGGTTTCTGTTTAGGTGGCTAAGACTTGGAATTACATAGCTTTCTTAGAAGTACAGTAGAATCTGTTCAGGGGAAACACGTGGTATAAAATAGATGTGCGCCAGGACAGGGACACAGCGCGGGGACGGGGCCACTCCGTCCCCCTCAGCCCCTGTCCTCCCCTCACCACCTCATTTGTCACAGCTCCCACAACAGTCCGGGTTCGGGCTCTACAGCTGTTTGGGTTCCTGCCCCCTTGAGAGCGCGAGGGGAGGTACCGGTCGCTCTGCTCGGACCTGTTGTCAGGGACAGCGCGCCCGGACCCGGCGCGGCGTCCTGATGCCCATGGGCCCCCCGGGCCTTGGAGCCCTCGTTCCCTTCTTTACGTATTCCCATACCTGGTCCCCGGGTATTCCCACCCGCACCCTGGTCCCCGGGTATTCCCAACCGCACCCTGGTCCCCGGGTATTCCCAACCGCACCCTGGTCCCCGGGTATTCCCAACCGTACCCTGGTCCATAGAGACTCTGAAAGTACATTTACAAAGCTTTGCTGTGTAAGCAAAATGGTTGTTTTAGACCTTGATTTTTTTTTTTTACCTTCTTTTTGTTACTTGGCTACAAAAATACAATTAATTCATAAAATAATTAATAGACTTAATCTTTTAGAAGTTTTAGGTTTCTAGAAAAACTGAGCAGACTGCCCCTATTACATAGTCCCCACGGCCCCCCCCACACGCACACTCAATTTACTCATTATTAGCATCTTACATTAGCATGGTACATTTGTTAAAATTAATAAACCAGTATTGATACGTTATTAACTAAAGTTCACAGGTTATTCAGTTTTTCTTAGTTTTTACATAGTGTCCTTTTTCCGTTTCAGGAACCTATCTAAGACACCACATTGTATCTGGTTGTGTCTTCTTGGGCTCGTCTTGGCTCTAACAGTTTCTCAGATTTGTTTTGTTTTGTTTTGTTGGGTTTTTTATTTTAAGTAGATTCCACGCCCAAACTGTAAAACGCCGAATTTAGAAGTTGCACGTATTGCCTGCCCTCACCTCCCTTTAAAAACAACGTGCACACGAGCTCAGACAGAGAGGCCCCGCCGAAGCGAGCGTGAGGCGCGGTCCCAGCGGTCCTCTGGGCAGTCTCCGTCTTCCGCTCCGCGTCCCTCTCTGCATAAGTCGGGTCCTTGCTTCAGTCCTTACGGACCCTGTCCCGTTGGCACGGGCTGTTTCTGAGAGGAGTCTCGTGAACTCTCCACCAGGCGTTCTTGACTGTGGCCTGACCCAAGTGTGACCACCGAGGTACAGCAAGCGGGTGGGAGGGAGGGCCACAAAGCCAAAGGACAAAGCAGAGGACCCTTCACAAATCCTCTGTTGTACCCGAAGAATCAGGAGAAAATCATTGTTGGGTTAACTCGTACTAAGGGATGGCTGCTGAGTAGACAGAAGCCCCTCGCGGGTTCTGCTCAGGGACCGAGACTCACAGGTGCTCCCCGGACGCGGCGGCCCTGGGAAGTCCCCGCATCACGACCCACGCTGACAGGCTGGGATCGCGTGGGAGAAGCATGGCTGGCCCTCTGTGCTCCTCGCTGCGCCAAAGGCACACCGTGCCACCTGAGTAACAAAGACCATGCTTCTCCTTGCCCTTCATGTCAGATTTTCAACACCCAGCAGCGTGCACCCCTTTGCGCCCCAACGTTACCTTCACAATTTCCAGTTTTTGCTTGAACGCCCTGAATGGGAAGACACATAAGAGTGACAATCGTCACGTCCTCTTGGAGGCCAAATGGCTGCCGCCTGCGGGGAGCCCAGGGCCTTCTCACCACAAGAACATTTGTCCCTGGGCCACATTTCACCTCTGCCCCTCCTGCCTCCGATGACCGCCCACCCCTGAGTGTGCACCTTAGGGCCTCCTGCGATTTGTTTGTGCAAAGCCAGCTGGTGCTTGTAGACCGTCGCGGGCTTATCTGACCCCCAACGGTGGCACCACTGGCTGACCCTGCACGGGTCCATCCCACCTCTGTCAGCTGCCGACATGCATGTCAACAAGAAATACTTTTATACTCAGAAAATTAAAAAAAAAAAAAAAAGGTTGCTTTGAGAGAGAATATTTTCTACAGCTTCTAAAGAATTCAAAGAAAGATGACCAGACATTATGGGCCTCCCATCGGAAGTTATCACGTCTGAGGTCATCATACAAGAAACACATACATAAATAAATAGAACCTAACTGTGACCTGGCCTCTGGAGCCAGTTGCCAAGTTAGAGGATGTGCAGAAGACACAGGAACATGCAAAAGGAAACCACAGAGAGGTAATCTGCCAACTTCAATGATCATCAGAAAGAGCTGTAGAGACTCAGCACAGTGGGCAGTATCGTTTCTGAAACCAATAAATGGAATAGAAAAAAATAGGTTAAGAACCTGTAGAGTAAAGGAGAAGAAAGACCTGCCAACCCATCACAAACAGCGACTGTAGCTGGATTCCGGATTCCCAAACAAGCAGATGAACTTCAGTTAGGACATTTATGACCCAGCTGGAGATGAAACACTGAATAATATGGTATTCATGAATAACATGATATTGAATAATATAATATGAACTATATGAATTGAATAATAATATAATAATATGCATAATATGACATTAAGGGATCATGGTCTATTTTTTAGATGTCACGGTGGTATTGTGGTTGTTTTAAAAACCAAACAATCCTCATCTTCTGGAGATGTGCGCTGAAACATGTACACATCTGGAATTTGCTTCAGCATGCCATGGGGTTGGGGACCTAAGCTGAAGATCATTGAAGTCAGGTGGCAGGGGACACGCGGGGCCTTCCTTTTGCACATGTGTGAAATTTCCCACCTAAAAACAAGCCAGAGGACAGAACAGAACACTGTGTTGAGGGGGTCATTTCCAAGTGCAGGTGAATTAAAGCAGGGGAGGGGAAAATGATCAGCAGGACAGCTAATCAAGGAGGTAGAAGCCACAGGACCGGGCACGCTTGGAGAGCAACTAGGAACAACCACGTGCCTGGGGGCTGTGGGTGGGATTAGCACCGCCGTGTCTCCAGGAGAGGAGGTGCCCCTCACCAAGGTGTCTTTGTCTCCTCCCAGTTGGTCAGTGGGCAACTGGAGCACCTGCAGCCGGACGTGCGGTGGGGGCACTCAGAGCCGGCCCGTCCAGTGCACACGGCGGGCCCACTACGTGTCGGAGCGAGTGGCGGCCATCCTGTGTCCGCAGCCCATGCCTTCCAGCCAACAGGCCTGCCACTCTCAGAGCTGCCCACCCGCCTGGAGCACCGGGCCCTGGGCAGAGGTAAGTGGGGCAGGGATACGTGGGGGGGGCAGCCCCTGGGCCCCCTCCGGTGGATCGCAGAGCTCGGTTCTCACCGAGCCTTGCAGGGCCTGCGGTTGGAACCCCAGGCTAGGTCTGATAGACTCCTTGCTGGTGGCTGCCCCGTTTCTTCCTGAGCAGTGCTCTCGAACCTGCGGGAAGGGGTGGAGGAAGAGATCTGTGGCCTGTAAGAGCACCAACCCTTCGGCCAGGGCGCAGCTTCTGCCGGACGCCGTCTGCGGCTCGGAGCCCAAGCCCAGGACTCACGAAGTTTGTCTGCTCAAGCGCTGCCTCAAGCACAAGAAGCTGCAGTGGCTTGTGTCTGCCTGGTCCCAGGTGGGTGCTGCCGGCCCCGGGTGGGGGCCCCGGGCCCTGGGTGGGTGCTGCCGGCCCCGGGTTGTACTGCCGGGCCCGGGTGGGTACTGCCGGCCCCAGGTGGTGCTGCTGGCCCCGGGTGGGTGTCTGCCGGCCCCGGGTGGGTGTCCTGGGCCCTGGGTGGGTGCTGCCGGCCCCGGGTAGTACTGCTGGGCCCCGGTGGGTACTGCCGGCCCCAAGTGGTGCTGCTGGCCCTGGGTGGGTGTCTGCCGGCCCTGGGGGGGTGCTGCCGGCCCCGGGTGGTGCTGCCAGCCCCAGGTAGTA